AAAGCTAACAGTCTCTTCATCACTGTATCAATGTAAGACTGTAATCTAAAGCTACAAGTCTCTTCATCACTGTATCAATGTAAGACTGTAATCCAAAGCTAACAGTCTCTTCATCACTGTATCAATGTAAGACTGTAATCTAAAGCTACAAGTCTCTTCATCACTGTATCAATGTAAGACTGTAATCCAAAGCTACAAGTCTCTTCATCACTGTATCAATGTAAAACTGTAAATACCATTAGCATTAATTTATTTCAAGATACAAGTATCAGAAGATATGTGTTTTTTTTTCAGAACAAGAGATTTAATAATATCTTTTGCAATACAGGTATAATTATATAGATTTATCTTTAATACTGACCTTGGATATAAAATTAATCAAAAAAGAAGTAATATTATTTTAAGATTTCTTTAAAATATTTTAAACAGACCCTTACTTCACATAAGATACTTTCAGTCAATCACAATTATAAAGTGCTAAGAGAGTTTTTTACGCTTTTCTCCAAACCTGAATATGTAACTGGTTGGAACAGGTAAACAGGTACCTTAAAGTTTTACTTGAGATAAAATCTAACTAAATGTTGGCACGATGTGTGTGTGTGTGTGGAAAGAGGGCCAAAACTAGAAGACAGTCAAGTTTTTCAGAAGTTTTTTTGACAAAGGCAGGAGGAAACTAGAAGAATTCGAGGACGTGCTCTTCCTGAAAAAAAAATCGCAATTATTGTGACAAATTTGGTCTATTTTGATGCAGTGAAGACCATATTATAAAGGTAATCAAAAAATAAACACAATTGCAATTAATGTGAAATAAGCAGTTGGCAAATTTAAATAACAGAAGCTTCGCTAGGCGCTGGCACAAAGGGCCCGTGCCCCGAATCCACAGTTGGTGTCTTGAAAAATCAGAATAGAAAACCATGAACGATACCATACTGAAACGCCGAAAATTCCCGCGCCTATGGGACCGAGTCCTGAATCTTTTAAGCCCCTGTTAAATTACCTTTTAATATTTATGTGAAAACTCCTTTTTTCTTTTTCTCTCTTGGACTCGTTATCTCCAGCTGCCAAAGTTACTATAGAAGTTTTATCTCTTTGTAGAGAGTCATTACTTTATAGCAGGAAAGGAAATGGGTTTTAGGAACTAGGTACACGTTTAGAAGGAGCAGTGGGTTGATAGGTATAAAAAAGCAAATAGAAAAGATAGGAGGTTCTCATTTTATATTATAGCTTGTCAATATCGGTAATTTGAGTTCCTTACTCATAGGAAACTATAGACTTTATATTTGGACATCACACACACATCTAATTTGAACTTATGTTGCATTCAACATAACACGTGACACATAAAAATCGACATTTAGGTGTGTCTTATAATATTTACTTTTAAATTAAGAAATTAACTAATATATACTACTAGAATTTGAATTATAATCTACAATTTCATACCAAACTTATTGACATAAATTCATAGAATAGTAGTTCAATAACATTTGAAGGTAAGTCAACAAACTCGATGACATGGCGTTTGACCCGTGACGATAGGGTTAATAAACATCTTCAGTGGTGCTAAACTTAACCAATGGGGAAAAAAAAATGCAAACTGAGAACTAGGTACACGGCGTGTACCCGCGTGAACCCCTATTTCCATTACTGTTTTATATTGAAAGATCAATTCAAGATAGGAAAATCGTAAACCAACCGAAATTCATAGGGGTCTTAGTGGGTGCTGGACCGATATGCTTCGAATATATGAACATAGAAAGGTACTTTACGATAATATGGATTATTTCACACCATTTTCATCGTAGTAAATTTTGTTTCGAATAACAAATCAGTAAAAGTAGGCCTAATAACCGGAATTTCTGTTCTTTGATTAGTCGCCACATCATATCAGTACTATTTTGAATATATTCTGGGATAGTCGTACATAAGATTTCTGAGTTTTTTTAGAAATATCACGCTGAAAAATTTGGTGTTTTCTTTAATTTTAGCAGTTTCTGGGGCTGCCATCTTCAATTTAAAAATCTTCTCTGTTCTCATCCATTTTTATTTCATTTTACAAAAGCAGGTAAAGAAATAAAACCAATAGGTCTATTATCATAATGATATATACAAGTAGCGAAACAGAAAATTTTAATTGTAGTTTAAAATTAGTCAGAAATAAACAAAATAATTTTGAAATTTTACTGCAGGGTTGGGTAACATATATGGGCACTGAGAGAAGTTAATCTGACTGTGTTTTTTTTTTTTCTCTCTCTTTATGGAAATTTGGTAACAACAAAAATAAGAATAACGAAATATAAAACTCTCCGAGATTTTTCTAAGTCTCGTGGTTTATATACGATATAGCTTATCTTTACATGATGTAAAAAATCAAAACCATATTATAATTTATTTCAACTTACGATCTTATACGTTTCCTGAGGCATCAATCTCAACACAGTGTTTACATATGATATTACAAAGATTAAAATGTATCTTATACTTATGAGTATAAACTCTAAAGCAGTGATAGCAGCTTCTCTGACTTAGCAGTAATTCATTGCTTGTTTATTTATGTTTTGGTTTATTACCAGGGAGCAACGCCTTATTACGATGACATGCCCCTGTAGCTTCCATATCTTCAGCTCCAACTAAACGTTTTAGTGATGATGAAATCACATTGTAGAAGCCGAGAGGTTTCAAATTCCTCATGCATGCAGGCTAGGTCTTATCTTAGATGTTTGGCCTTGATTGCCAACTTTAGGATATACATAAATTAAAGGCAAACGAACTAGGCGCCATTAGGAATACTCTAAAAACCA